TCAGTGTGACTATGAATAGATAACAAAATTCTGTGGTGGGATCATTTGAGATGTAAATGATTAATTATCAGCTTCAGTGCCTAAGGCATTTTCTAAAAAAACAAAGGAGTATAATCTAGTGAAATGGACATTGAGAAAACTGGGGTCTGTTACTATATACTTATGGAGTGATCTGGGGCTCAAAAAAAAGGATTAGTCATTCAGATGGAGGTGTTTCTTGGTCTTTGAAATTCAGTGGTAAATACAATGTTCACTACCTATTTATCACTTAGTGATTTTTCCCTAATTTATATATCCATGGATCTAGGAATAAGATGCTAATGACTAACAATGAGCTTATTCTAGTTTAGAGTGAAGGTGAGAATATAAAAACATAAAGTGTACAAAGAGAATCACTCATTATGTTAAAAAAAAAAAAACCTACCAAATTCCATCTGAATTGCTCTTTCCAGCATAGGCTTTCTATTACAGGTTTGCTCAAGCAGGCTTTTCATATAAGATAAAGATACATTTTAAGTTATCAATTCCATGTTTGAATATACATCCCCTCCAAACTAAGATAGTTACCTAAAAATTTCATAGTGATCTGTCTTCTTAGCCTTTCCAGGGTCGCTGTAAAAATTTAGATTTTGTGTTTTACTTAAAAAAAAATCACTCTTTTTAAATGGATACATTACATTGTGATGATTGTCACTGTTCTTTTAAAAAAAACACACACACACACTATTTTCTTCAGCATGGCCAAAGAAAAATAGCCCCTTGTGAGATTTCAGCTAAAAGCCCTAAAGATCATGTGCTGCATACATGCCTCACCTGCACATAAAGAGCTTCGTTTCCGTTTGTCATGAACTAAAACCATGCGACTCACATACAATCCGCACACTTACTCTCTGCAGGTTCTTTAGACCGGCGGCCGCTGGAGGACTTCCTCAGCAGGCTTCGTCCCGACGTAAAGAGGCTGGTGAGTTCTTCCAGCGGACTCGTGGGCGTCCTGGACCGGGAGCCACTCGGGGCCGACCCATAGGTGTTCACCGAAGCACTGACCATCTTGCCCCCGTCCTGTGACACTGGCCTGGTGCTGGAAGGAGGCACTGAGGGAGAGCTCCTCGCGAGGCTGCCTGAAGGCACAGCATCGTACGGCGGAGGCCTTTTGAGGCTGAGGGGGGTCAGGGACCTCCCCATGCTCACAGGCGACGGGGAGGCAGAGTGACTTTTCGGGTAGCCGTGGGGGGACTGCGTTCGGTACAGAGCGGAAGGCGGAGGAGGGGACGAGGAGAGCGCAGACGCAGGTCCCAGGGCTCCGCTCTGGTCCTTCTCCAGCTTAGGGTGGCCGGAGGGCAGCGAGGATGGAGAGGCTCCGGCCTGCTGTTTCATGTAAGACACGTTTTCCAACACAGGGAGCTTGGTGACCTCCAACGGGGTGAGCGGGGACTCGTCGGAATTGGGGGAGCACTGCACCGGGGCTGGCGGGAACACCAGCAGGGGAGGTCTATGAGAAAGCAGGTTGGGGAAGGGTGGGGGGATGTCACAAAGCAAACCCTTTGGAGTACATGGCACTGAGGACTTGGCCAAGTCCAAGTCAGGCACGGTGGGAGTAGCACACTGCGAAGAACAACTGTGATGGTCAAGGTCGCATTTTGGGTCTTGGCCTAAGTCGTCAAAAATGGGGTATTTCATTTCTTCATAGACGGCCTCGCTCTGGTCGTCATCCTCTTTCCTGAAGTCTCTGAGAATGTTCCCCACCATCTCGATGTACACCGGCTCCTCCTCCTCCGCGTCCCCTGCGGGGCCGCCGACCTGGCAGAGGGAGGAGTCACGCGTGAGCGATGTCCTCCTGGGCCCGTGCTTTTTGATGTACGTTTCATCAAACGATGTGCTGAGCTGAGTGTTTGGGTTGCGTTTTGGTTTGGGGGGAGGAATCTTCTTTGAATATTCGTCACTGTGGGGTCTTGGTTTGGCTGATACTAAAAGAAGAAGAAGAAAAAGTAAAATTGATGAGTACAATAGGAAAGTCCTCAAAAATAATTTGTACTGGGGTTTATTATTGTAAACTTTTGGGAGCAATGGTAGTCTGCTTCATTTCTAGCTTGGCGCTTAGACTAAAAGTCAAATGAACAAACAACCAAAAAAATCAAACATTTCCCGTATTTAGAGAAACCTGATGACAGAATTTACAGTAATATTTATCTTCAAACTAATATTTATAATCCAACACTAGTAAATGCATTAACACCAGCACTATTCATTCCTCTGTCTTAGAATTTCTAAATAGAAACCTTCAGATGAAACGTGTTGGATACAAACAATCACAAACTTCATAAAGATTAACCTCCAAGAATCAGGGGGGAAAAAATTAGAATTTCTGTTAGCACAGATGGTCACAAATATACCGTGGGGACTGAGCCCTTTTAATGATGTGGCTATTGCACGTGATCACAGCTTGCTTTCATTTAGGATAAAAATGCCCAGCCCACTAGACTTACTCTCTGCTTTGGTTCAGATAAATAACCTCTGTAGAGATGGGTCTGATACCTTAGGGGAAATTGATGTGAAAATCTTATGAGTTTAGAGAAGTTAATCTCCAAATCTCCAGGTATTGTTGAGCTTGGCGTATTTGTCTGTTTCTGTCCATAAGATCTCTTATGATAACCCAAATGCTGTCTTGGAATGAATTTATTAGGTATGTTGCACTGACCCATCAGAATCCCCTGAAGAGTTTTACCAGAGAATGATCCAGAGCACGATGTG